TTTCCTGACAATTCCAAATTTAATCCTAGACTATAGTTATTAATTATTACAATTTTCTATGTTACAACTCTTACGTTAATATTCTTACTATTATTATTAACACTTAATTACTTTTAGATATTATTATTACCACTTATATTATTATTATTATTATTATTATTATTATTATTATTATTATTATTATTATAATACTATTATTATTATTATTATTATTATTATTATTATTATTATTATTATTATTATTATTATTATTATTATTATTATTATTATTATTATTAGTTTCTTTTCAAGTACTATTAGTATATAATGGTCGTGAGGCACAATAATAATATAACCATAATTAAATATTCATGTATTGTATTCCAGAGTTATGTCATTTTTGGTCCTAGACTTATTGAGGCATTGACACTTTTCATCCTCCATAATAAAAATTGCCACTTAGTAGACACTGTTATTGGTCGTTGGACAGTTTTGATCCTCCGTCAATGAAGCCGTTTGTTGACCGTGAATTAGAAGGGCTTTTCTGTCTTTTTATGTCTTATTCTTCTAATCTTGTTTAAACCAGCGCTGCTGTGACTCCTGTGAGGCGAGATGGCGAGACTTGGCGGCTAAGTAGTAACCGTCGGTAGTGAGTAGCAGCGAGGTTCTTCTCCGGCGAGTTGTGGGTACGGCGGCGAGCATACGAGGCAGTAACTCCTTCCGGCGACGGACCAGTAAGGCAGATCTGGCGGTGCAGCAACAGATCAGGCGAGGTTGGGGCCTTCACCAGTGGTTTTTGGTTCCGGCGAAGCAGAGAGGGCAGCAGGTCGGCGAACCCTCCTATGGTAAATAGCAGTTGTAGTTGTAGATGGCGTGATGTAGAATTTGCACTTGTAAGTCCTCCCTTCCATATTGACCACAAATATCCTTCTCATCTCTCTCTCTCTCTCTCTCTGACCACAACTACTTGGTGCACAACCTCAAAAACTCTACTCTGTTATTCTACCTGAAATTCATTGAAGTTTCAAGCTGAAAATGTGGAATCCGCCGCTCCCCAAAAATCGCATTGTCTGAGGTGTTGGAATGGCCGGTGTTGACTTCATGGCTGCTGTAGCTTCATTCCCCAACCCTTGGAGCACCAGCTTTGAGATTCAAGGAGGTGGTAACACTGGCAATGCTTTGATAAAACCTGGATGATAAAATTCGTCTTGGTCTTAATCCAAGGATCATATCTAAGGTTGCTGATGACTCGCATGGCGAAAGAATACTTGATGAGCTTGAAAGGGATGATGTTGATACATCTTTTATGGTGGTGTCCAAATGAAGAAACTCACCATTCACATATGTCATTGTTGACTCCAGGATATCCACCAAAAAAAAAAAAAAACTCGCACGTGCATTTTCACATTGTTATTGTTAATAATAATAAAATCAAGTAATGGTTTGTAACTGTCATTTTCAACTAATTAAGGAGAAATATTTATATAGAATAATAATTTATCAATGAGTCTATAATTTAAATATAATATTGCCATTTTTCCTATTATAATATTATATTATTATATTATTATATTATATATTAAGGACGACGATAAAAATAGAATTAGTTTTTTCTTTTCCCAATAGAATTAGTCTTTTGTTGACCACATAACCGACATGTCAGTACCGCGTGATTGTCACGTTTGCTTCATCTGAAAGGCCTCTCAGACCTATAAATACCCCTGTCCTTAACTGTCTTCTTCGATCGCGTTCTAATCTGAATATCTGATTCGCAATGTCTCAAGCCTCGTTCTTATTCTAGAAGGTTTAGGATAGCTATTTCAGATTCAGAGTCATGGATTGGTTTGATTAATTAGTGTTTAGTTATCCTATGCTTGATTTGCTGGAAATGGGGTTTCTGTGTTTATCGGATGCCAAACATGTCTATTTCCAATTACTCATGTTCGTCTGTATGCCTTTCATGTTGATGTAGCTCAGATCGTGGATTTGATGTCAAGTAACAGGGATTCGGATTTGTTCTAGTTGAACGAAATAGATCGGTTTGCTCAATACGCGTTCAGTTATCCTATGCTTGATTTTCTGGAAATTTAGCGTTTATATTGATTGGTTCCTTAAGATGTCTGTTTTTGACTAGTTTTTGTTGGTATGTCTGTCATGACTTGATGTGATTCGGATTGTGCATTCGATTTCAGCGGTGAGCTTTCGGATTTCTTTTGGTTGAGAGGCATGGATCCGTTTGACAATACGTGTTTGGTTAACCTATGCTTGATTTTCTGTAAATTTTGGTTTCTGTCTTGATCGGTTGCCAAAGATGTCTATTTCCAGTTACTCATGTTCGTCTGTATGTCTTGTTATGTTGATGTAGCTCAGATCGTGGATTTGATCTCAAGTGGAAGATTTTGGACTTGTTCAAGCTTAACAAATATATTGGTTTGATTTGTACGCCTTCAGTTATCCTATGCTTGGTTTTCTGGAACTTCTCATATATATATTGATCAGTTGCTAAACATCTGATTTGGATTATTTATTGTTCGTATGTCTTTCATGACTTGGTTTAGTTTGGATTGTGGATTTGATCTCAGCACCAAGCTTTTGGATTTCTTTGGGTTGAACATGGAGTTGGTTTGATTAATTCGTATTTGGTTACCCTGTGCTTGATTTTCTAGATATTTTGGTTCGTCTTGATGAGATGCAAAGATTTCTCCTATCATCTATGTTCGTCTATATGTCTTGTCTAGTTGATGTAGCTCAGATTGTGGATTGGATGCGAACTGCAAGGTTTTGGATTCATTCGGGCTGAAATTGGTTTGATCAATGCTCTTTTCAGCTATCCTATGCTTGATTTTCTTGAAAATTTCTGTTTAATTTTACTCCGTATGCACATTATTATTCTCTATAGGTCTCTCATCAATTGAAGTTATTGTTCGTTAATCATGGATTATGTTTGTAAATCTTTTCTTGTTGATGTAGATTAGATTGTGAATTTGATTCCATCTGCAATGAAACAGAATGGTTTGATCAATACACTCAGTTATCCTAGGCTTGGTTTTCTTGAGATTTCATATCCTTGTCAATTGTCACTTGGGTTTCTGTGTATTTATTGTTGGTATGCCTGTCTTGGCTTTGATGGTGTAGTTCAGGTCTTGGATTCAATTTCATCTACAAGGGTTTGGGTTACTTGTTGAACGGCATGGATGGGTTTGATTAAGTAGTTTGGTTTTCTAATTGATCTGTTCCTAAAGATTTCCCCATCCAGTTACTTATTGTTTTGTCTTGGCTTGATGTAATTTAGATCATGGCTTTGATGTCACCTGCAAGGTCTTGGATTCTTGTCCTGGTTGAACAACGTAGATCGGTTTGATTAGTTTATTTTGTCTATTTTAAGCTTGATCTTCTGGAAATTTTGGTTTGTATATGAATTGTTGAGATATCCGTTTTCCACTATATATTGTTGTCTTTTGGTCTTGACTTGATGATGCAGCTCAGGTTATGGATTCGACATCAGCTGCAATGTTTTGGATTCTTGTTCTTATTAAACAACTGAGATGGGTTTGGTTAATTTGTGTTTGGCTCTCCTATGATTGCATCTTTGGATACTATTTGTTGTATTGATGTTCCCACTATAAGTATTCTATCTCTTATGTACTTCAGATCATGGATCCTTTTATGTCAGCTGCGCAAGGTTTCAGATGCCTTTTCTGGTTAGATGACATAGATCATTAGATTGATTTAATTTATTCATATCTTACTCTGTTTTTCTTCTTTTTTTTTTTTTTTTTGGAAATTTTGCTGTCTTTATTTATGAGATTGCTAAGAAATTTGATACCCAATTATTCATCTATCTTTCCATCTTACTTGATGATCAGATTGTGCAATCTATGCCAGCTGCAAGGTTTTAGATTCATATTCATGTTCAGTGATCGGGTTGGTTCATGTTTGGTTTGGTAATCTTTTGTTTTCTTACTGTTCCCCTTATTTATTGCTCTGTCCAATTGTCTTGACTCAACAATATGGTTTAGATCTCAGAATCAATTTCAGCTGCAAGGTTTCACATGCTTATTTGGTTAGCGAGGTCAATTGGTTTCATTAGTTCATATTTGTTTATCCTAATGCTTGATTATATTTTGTTGATGAGTTTTTAAAATTTCAGTTTCCAATTATTTACAGTTTATGTTGACAATTCTTGTGGAGTTCTTTGGTATTCAGTTGTGTATGGTTTTCAACCTTGGCCTATTCTCTTCTATTTTTAATTGGTTATTTCATTTTTGTAATCAAATGTTACTTAGTCCTTTGAACCTTCTGACTTTTTATAATGTGGTAGGCAAAAAAAAATAGTTTCAATTCCCATTATCAACACTTTTCTTTATTTTTTTCTCCATGGCCCGCTGGAGACGAAGGGGTCCCCTTTTGTCTCCATGGCCCGCTGGAGAAGAAGCGGTGGGGACCGCCTCGTCTCCGGCCAACCTGGTCAAGATGTGTTGTGTTAGAAGGGTCAGTTCAGGACATCTTCCAATTGTGAAAATTTTGGTTTGGTTGTGTTTTTTTTTTTTTTTTTTTTTTTTTTTTTTGGTGCTTTTGCCCATTTCCCTTCACTAGTTGAGTAGACATATCATTCTTTGTATACTCTTAACTTTTTGGGTTTCTTTGCTCTTGATGTTCTTTCTAGGTTTAATCCAAGACATATCAGTTTGTTGCATGAATGCCTGGTTATCTCTCATTCATCAAATAATCAGTTAAATATTTGTACCTTTGGCAATATTAATGCTCGGGTTCTTTTCTGGCTTGATATTCTTTTGAGGTGAAGTCCAACTTGGGAGGTGCACAATGAACTGCAGGTCTGCAGCAGGGGTCATTGACCTGTTTGGTTTGGAAGTGTTTTGTCAAACTTCTCTGATTCTTCAATGCTCTCATTCTCATAATTCTTCCCAGCGTTGAAGAATTTTGTAATGTGGTTCACAGGTTAGCAAGAGGTGTAATGTATGAAATAGATTGGTTTGATTGATAAGATACAGTTATTGATTTTCTTGAAAGCTTGCATTTATATTGATCGGTTGCTTAAGATTTCTGTTTCCGATTATTTATTGTTTGTATGTCTGTCATGACTTGATGTAGTTTGGATTGTGGATTCAAATTCAGCCTGCTGCTTTTGGATGCCTTTTGGTTCAACGACATGGATCAATTTGATAATACTTGTTTGGTTATCTTGTGCTCAGTTCTCTATAAATTTTTGTATACGTCTTGATCGGTTGCTGAAGATGACTATTTCCAGTTACTTATGCTCGTTTGTATGTCTTGTCATGTTGGTGTAGCTCAGATCGTGGATTTGATATCTTTAAGGCTCTGGATCTGTTCTAGTTGAGCAAATAGATTGGTTTGATCATTAAGCATTCAGTTATCCTATTCTTGGTTTTCTGGAAATTTTGAGTTTATATTGATCGGCGACTTTCAATTTCTCCTTCCAATTATGTATTGTTGGTTTGTCAGTCATGGATTGAGCTAGTTTGGATCACGGATTTTGTTTCAGCAACAATCTTTCGGGTTGAACGGCATAAAATTGGTTTTCTATTCCTTCATCACTCATCGGCGTGCTTGCTTGAATGATGTGGATCGGTTTGGCAAGCTTTCGGATTTCCCTTCACTAGTAGACACATTTAATATTTGATTAGACTTAATTTTGTGGGGAGTTCTATGTTGTTTTCGTTATTCTTTCTAGGTTTGATCCAATATTGGGGTTAATTAACCTAATGCTAAGAGGTTCCATGTAGAGCGGCCCTGTGATACTCATTAGTGGTTTTATCAAGCTTGGTTTTATTCCTTCTAAAAGTTTGTCCATGAAATTTTTGGTTGTGATTTTCAAAATTTTCTCCACTCTTTTACTATTTATTAATTTAGTAAAATCACATTTCTATTTATTGTTCTTCATAATTGCAGGTCTAGATGTATTTTGTTGGAAGGGTCAGATCTGGACAACTTCCATTTGTGAAAATCTTGATTTGGTTGTGGTTTTATTATTATTAATTATTAATATTATTATATTATTATGGTTGTGGTTGCTTTGTCTGTCATGACTTGATGTAGTTCAGATCACGGGTTCAGTTTCAGCAGCTAGCTTTCAAGTTGAACTATATGGATTGGCTTGACAAGCTTGGTCCTATTCTTCATCACAGCAAGCTTGGTTGAACGATGTGGATAGGTTTGGGCACTTGGCAAGCTTTCTGATTTCCCTTCACTAGTAGACATTTAATATTTTATTAGACTTAATTTTGTGGGGGGTTCTTTTGCTGTTTTGGTTATTCTTTTTAGGTTTGATCCAATATTGGGGTTCATTAACCTATGCTAAGAGGTTCCATCAGCCCAGTCAGTCCATGATGATCATTAGTGCCTTATCAAGCTTGGTTTTATTCCTTCTAAAAAATTTTATCCACGAGTTTTTATTGTGATTTTCCAAATTACCTCCACTCTTTTACTATAATATATATGATATATAATTTATTGAAATCGTATCTTCCCTTATATTTATTCTTCTGCATCTTTGTAGGTCTAGATGTATTGTGTTAGACGGGTCAGTTCTGGACATATTCCATTCATGAAAATTTTGGTTTGGTTGTGGTTAATTATTCCTTTTTCTGTGCTTTGCCATTTCCCCTTCACTAGTAGACATTAGCATTTGTTTACTACTGTTTTGGGGTTTGTTTGCTCCTGATGTTTTTTCTATGTTTATTCGAAGATATTGGTTGATTAACCTAATTCCTAGAGGTGGCATATAGTCATATGATGATTCATTAGTGCCCTGCCTTATTTATCCAATGAGTTCAGTTTGATGCATCAATGCCTGGTTATCTCTTATCAATCAAATAATCAGTTCAATTGTATTTAAATATTTTTTCTTTTTACCATATTAATGATCCGGTTCTTTTCTCTCTTTATTTTCTTTCGAGGTCTAGTTCAACTTGGCGGGTGCACAATAAATTGCCAGGGGTTATTAACCTGTTCGGTTTAGAAGTCTTTTGTCAAGCTTCTTTACTGATTTTTCAATGCTCTCATTCTTCCTCATTCTCCCCAATTTTGATGAATTTTGTAATATTGTGGCTCATAGGTTAGCAAGAGGTCTAACCTAGGGATATGAGCTAGAGCCCAGAGGGTGCCACTGAGATCAGCCATGATAGTCTTCTAATGATCATCATTACAACATTCTATCTGGAAAAATATTTATCCGATAAGTTTGGTTAATACTCTATGTTCTCTTTCATGCTTGCATTGTTGAAATTTTTGGATGTTTTCAGTTCCTAAAATTTCTCCCTTTTTTTTATGTGAACATTTTTCTTGTTTCCCCACCCCACTAATAGGCGTTTTTCTTTAATTACATATGAATTTAATATTATATAGGATTCTCAGTTCTTTGCATGCTTCTAGGTTTGCTCTAGCTTGGAGTACAGGATGGATGAGGGACTTCAAGAGTAAGGAAAACTTGAAGTATTAATTCTTGGTTTTTATAGATGGTTCCCTGTTTCTATTGTGTGGTCTAGGGTATTGAGCAAGGAACTTCCAGTGAAGGGTAGGTTTGACATATCCCATGCACTTCCAGGAATCTAACTACTTCCAAGTTTTGTGATTTTATTTTATTGCCATTTTATTGAGGTTTATGGCTGCTAAACTCTAGTCTGGTTTGAGACATCCTTTGGTTGGCCTCTTGAAGGAACATTGGATGTCCTATTTGAGTTTGACCTACTTGGTGCTAGAGTCCAATTGTTTATTTCTATGCATCCATCTTATTGAGAAATGTTTTCCTTAGATTATCTTTGTTTCATTCTTTGTTGAGTCTCATGATTAATTTTGCCACTTATATTGCCTGGAGGCATAATCCTTATACAGAGAAACTAACTACTGGAGTTAAATTGTGACTTTGATGATTAACACAACCTCTTGCCTGTATTGGTAGTATATTGTGCATGCTGAGTTTGGATTATTAAACATGAATCAATCCTGGTATACTTCATATGTGGTTTATTCTTCTCCCAATACTTCGGGTGAATATACTGGAGTTAGCAATTCGTCATCTGAGTTGAAGGATCCTTTCCTGTTACTGTGTTCTTTGACAATAGGGTTGTAATTTGAGCTGATGAACAACTTTTTCAGTTACAGTTTGTGAAGAACATGGAGATGTATCTTTATTTCTAGCATCTAAATTGGTTGATTGGATGTCCTTTCTTTTTAGCATCTGAATCCATGGAGGAGCTCTTTCCTGTAAGGCATTTCCCTGTCTCTATTATGTGCTGTAGTTTGTTCACCAAGGAACTTCTCACAATGAGTAGGTTTGATATAATCCCCCTTCCAGGAATCTAATCACATCAGATGCTAAGTGGTGGGATTTTATTTTATTGCCATGTTTTTGATGTTTATGGATATGCTAAATTCTGGTTTCATCTGAGACATCTTTGGTAATCTGCTGCCTGACTCTGGAGGATGTCCAATTTGATTTATGACCTACCGGGTGCTAGTCCAATAATTAATTTCTACTATGCATGTTATTGAGGTAAAATTTTCCTTGGATTGCCAACCCTTGTTTCATTGAATCTCATGATTAATTTGCCACTTACAATGTCTGGAGACAATTCATATACAGAGTAACCAACTACTGGGTGTTTAATAGTTACTGATGATTAACGTGTGGTCTGAAGCTTGTTATTGGGAGCACGTATGTGCCTTTTTCGCTCAATACTTGTGGTAGATATGCGGCTGGAGTTAGCAATGGATATTATTTCTTTCCAACCATTCGAGTATTCTTAATTGATCCGTGAGATTTGTCATTGCACTTTGGGAAAAAAAATGCAGGATTTCGCAGTGGATATTCTTTCTGGCATCTAAATTGAGTACTCTGTGCAATTTGAGTTGATGGGGGAACCTTTCCTTTACTGCTGACAATGGATTGTTGTGTGTGCTGATTAAGTTCTTTACTTAGGAGTGGTTTTTTGTACAGCATGTTGGCACTTCTGTGGATTTTTTTCACTTGTTCTCTGCCCTCCAATTTGAAGAATGCTTTCTAGAGAGAAGTTTCGCCTTTGTGAAGACTGCCTTCCCTGATAATTTGAAGTACGAAGATAGCTTTATTTAATTGATGATTGCCTGTCAACAAGTTTTAAGTTGTTTATGATTTCTCCTTGTGAAGATGCTCTTAAAAAGAACTTGAAACACTTCATTGATTTGAAAGGAACATCAAAGATATAGACCCTTTGTCTACTAGAAGTGGTTGTTTGTTCTTACCCTCCAACTTGGACTGCTTTTAGAGGATGATCTCTCTTTTGTGATGGCTTCTTTTGCTGATTTTTGAAGCTCAAATATATCGCAACTTTAATGACACCTCCTTGTTAAGATGTTTTTCTGGAGTCTTTCCTACCGGATAATATGTCTAGTCACTTCCAAGGGGGTCATTGAATTTTCATTTTGGGTGGTTCATGAAAGAGCCATGTGATGATTGCTAGTTTTGTTCACAACTCTGCTTCTGGTGCTAAGCTGCTTTTAAGCTTTTGTAGTTTTGCTCACATGATGAAATAAGATTGTATAAATGTTTGCTCGTCAGTTGTCACCATTTTGTTTGATATTTATATGGGAATCGGAAAGCGTTTTTCTTATTGGTAAATATGTATTTCATTTTTAGTCTTGCACTCTGTTACTTTTTTGTCAAAAGCTGAAAATAGCAAAAAGATACTTGTTTATATTGGTTTATAATTTGAGTTATCTTGCAGACTTGTAAGTGAATATTTGTCTGAATTTCACGTTTAGCAATAGTTTGTTTTAGTGTTAAATGCATTCACACACTTAGGTTGGTTTCATTACAGTTTATTTGAGTGTTTTGGTTGTTGATTGTGGTCTTTCTGGATTAATAAATATTTTTTCATTTTGGAATCTGGATTTATTGGCGATTCTATAGTTCTCTATAAATGTTTTTTTTTTTTTTTGCGCTTTCGGTCTTATTCATTCTTATTTATTATTATAATTAATACTTTCACTTCTTGTTTTTAATTTTTATAGCGTCTTTATGTTTATCTATACCCGATTCTAATCGCTCTTAAAAAGCAAATATTTAAAAAATATTTTACTGCTGTTACTTTTCAAAATGAAAAAAAAAAAAAAAAAATTGAAGCAAGCTTTTAAACAGTATCAGTTTGTGATATGTAAAGATGAAAAGGCCCTTCAAGCTTTTGCTTTCAACTGTTAAATGTTTTTTTGGTGTGTAAGTTTTAATTGATGAATGTTGAATTTGGTAAGGTTTACATTATTTTATGTTAGTACTATTTTGTGTAAGCTGGAGATGCATGCTAATTGATTCTGTTTTGTTTTGTTTTTTTAGTGTTAATTTAGTTTTGTTTTTTAACTCTGCCTGTGAAAGCAGCCGGTCCCAAGCCCGGATAAAGGAGGAGGGGAAAACTAGGTAGTATTTAATTCAAGTTTTTAAAATTCTTACTATTAGATCATACAATTGAATAAAAATTATTTCTTTTTCTCGGTTGCAAAATATTGTTAACATTAAAAAATGCTCTGTCGTGGAATATTATGAGCATACTATTGCACACATTTTTGCCATCTTCCTGCATCTTGTTCTGTTACAGGCTAAACAATTAATTTTTATTACTAAAATTTAACAAGAGCTAATAATATTTGTTTTTAATTAGGATGAAATTTGTATTAATTGTATCAAGTGTTTGTTTGCTTGTTCGTTCTTTTTTTATGTGTTGTACTAGTTGGTTTCACACGCATTATACGATTGGGATAACGTCCAATGTTTATTTTCAAATAAGTATATCAATACAAGATTATATTGGAGTTGTTCATGCATAAATAATTGAATGCTGAATTTGCCTATTGAAATAGGCAATTTAAGTTTTCAAAAGCAAGATAATATAATCAAGATCAAGATTGATTATAATTGTCAATCAAATAATTGTATGGTATGGTTGAAATCAAATACGGGACATATGGAAAAGCAAATAAAGATTAGGGCATAAGATATTAAATATATACTAATATAGTTTCAGGAGATTCTAGTAGAAGGTTGAGTTTGGGGGGGGGGGGGAGGGGGGGGGGGGGGTGCCCGGGCATATTGCACGGCAAATTACAAATAATATTATAGAAACATGATAGGAGATGTACTCCCCTCATGGTGGAATGGAGTTTTTTGACCCGCTGGTTTTTTTGTTTTTTTTTTTCAATGAGTTTGTATATATTTAATTTGTTGGAATTAAGGCTAAAGATCAAATAACAATAATAATTGAGAGATAATAAGATATGAAAAACAATCGTTATTGTAGTTGTATTATCTTTTTACGGCATAAAAATTAGGTGAATGTTATGACTTACAACTATGGAACCCTCTCATGTTTAAGGTTCAACTTTGGCCATTAGGCCGAGGGTTAGTAGGCCGAATCGTTAGTGGCACCGTTTAACTCCACCAATCTGTTTTTATTTATTTATTTATTTTTTAACTCCACCAATATGAATATATAGTGCATTCATTCTGAATACACGTACCAGTAACTGGTGTGGATATATAATTCACTAATTTTGGATATATAGTTCACTCATTTTGGATATATAGTTCATTAATTCTGGATATATAATTCACTAATTCTGAATTTATATTTCATTAATTCTGAATATATAGCTTATTCATTCTGAATATACAGACGCTGTGAACTGCCATAAGTTAACACAAAGTACTAGTAACCGGTGTGTATATATAGTTCACTAATTCTGGATATATAATCATTAATTCTGGATATATAGTTCATTAATTCTGGTTATATAGTTCAAATTATGCACAGCATAACGCCGTTAACGGCAATCGACAATGAATTTTCTTTTTAAAGCCAGTCAGCGTCATTTTTAATCAAAACGACGCTGTTTTGCAACCATAGCGCACATGGTTGCACGGCATAATTTGCGTAGTAAGCCTATCTGTGCACCATAACCTTAATAATATTTATAATAAAAAACTTTTCAAAAACTCCTAAAATGATGTGTTGTTTTTTAACGAAAAAGATAATATTTAACGGAAAGTTAACTGATAATCATATAATTAAAGATAAATTTGAAAATCTTAAAGAAAAATTAAAATCTAAACAATTCATTTGATTTAATAATAAAAACCATAGTGCACACGGTTGTACGGCATAATTTGCGTAGTAAGCCTATCTGTGCACCATAACCTTAACAATATTTATAATAAAAAACTTTTCAAAAACTCCTAAAATGATGTGTTGTTTTTTAACGAAAAAGATAATATTTAACAGAAAGTTAATTGATAATCATATAATTAAAGATAAATTTGAAAATCTTAAAGAAAAATTAAAATCTAAACAATTCAACGGGCTTCCTGTTGAAGCGCAAAGAGTCAACACTGCCTCCACTGAGACTCAATCTCATGACCTCCCACATAAGAGAGTCACTACATGTCATCTGAGCACAACTCTACTTGGCAAATTTTTATACTTTTCTTTTAACTTATTTTTAAACATTAGTCCTTAACAATAATTTATTAGTACTGTAGTGTTTTTTTTTTTCCGTACTTTTTGAGTTTTCATGTTGTATTTTTATAATTTCTTATTAACTTTACCTTTTCTTTTTTCAATTATATACCATCACTATGTAAAATTCAAGCACATACATATCTATGAATATGTAGTTTTTAGATAATTTAACTTAATAATAATTTAGAAAAAGATATCTTCAAAATGAATAATTTAGGAAAAGATCATATAAGATTCAAACACAAAAAAAAAAAAAAAAAAAAAGTTTCATATAAACTTAAACACTTTAAAAGGTGTAATTCAGTCCTAATCTTACTTATCAATTGTTGACGACGACATGAACCGGGCTTTCTTGACAAAAATTGGATGGCGCATAATCAAGGATAAAGGATCTATTTGGGCAAGGGTGCTGACAGATAAATATATGCATGGGAAAGCCAATATTCATGAGATCAATTGGCGCAAACTTGGTTCAAATCTATGGAAAGGAGTTTGTGAATTCTACTGCATGGAAGTGCCCGTAAGACGTGGAAGCCTTGTCTATGTGAGAGTGAAGATGAAAACAAAGGAGACCAGAATGATGACATCTATTGGAGCTTGGAGAGTAACGACATGTTCTCAGTCTCGTCTGTGTATAAAACAACATGCACCGCCGAATTGGATTTAGGCAATGATAAATGGGAGGATGTTTGGAGGGTTTTTGACTGAAATGGGAAGAGACAAAGGGTTATGGACAATAATGGGAACACTTTTTTTTTTTGACAAGAATAGGAAAACCGAGTTTGGGAAACGCGGTTGGGGTCAAAACCGCATTTCCCAAACTCGGGTGGGGCGCGATTTTACGGTACTGACAACCGCATTTGAGAAATGCGGCTGTCGTATAATATACAACAGCCGCATTTCCCAAATGCGGCTGTCGTATACACATAGCCGCATTTGAGAAATGCGGCTTTCGTATATCATACGATAGCCGCATTTCCCAAATGCGGCTATGCTAGCTGGCGACAAAAACGTGTTTGAAATGCCAGCGCAGGATGTCGAGGCCGCCATAGAAGGGCACGTAAAACAGCTTTGCTTCTGATACGCTAGCGTATCGTTGTACCTTTCGAGCAAGTACGGCTCCTTAGTTACGAGCTTCGAGTGCACGTAAAACTCCAAAGATAAGAATTAAGAAAAACAATGCTTGAATTCTTCTTACTGCAATAAAACAAAGGTGCGTACAATATATAGAAAACTTATTGAATGTAAACAAATTAATCTTTCCTTGCTAGCATGATTCCTTCCTTTTCAGTGATACCATCCAATCTTCTCAATCCTTTAATTATAGACATAATCATTTGTCATCCATCTAGCCTTTTTCTTCTCTCGATTTGTCCTCCTCAAATTAATGTTCTTTCCTTGTATAATGGATCTTTCCTTGTCTGGTTCAGAAGGTTCACGAGTTTGTGTCATGGTAGTTGGCGTAACACTCCCGACCCCATCGGAAACCACTATGTCCTCAAGGTGTTGGTTGCCAAAATACTTGGCAATGACTGTGGCAGGTTCCCACGTTGCATCAGCAGGACCACCATCGCTCCATTGTGTTAATATCTGCTCTTCCTGCCTTCCATTACGCAACACAGTTCGAGTATCTACCAAAGCCACAGGTTTGGAAACTGGTTTACCATCCCAGAATTCTGCTGGGAGAGGAATGACTGTTGGTAGAGGTGCGGATGTCCAGACCGGACGTAGCAACGACACATGAAACACTGGGTGTATCTTTGATGTTTCTGGCAGCTTTAAACGATACGCTACAGCCCCAATCTTTTCAATAATTGGAAATGGCCTATAAAAACGGCATGCTAACTTTTGAGATGATCGTTTAGTCACTGAGTGTTGACGGTATGGTTGGAGTTTTAACAGGACTTCATCACCGATTTGAAAAGATACGTCTCTACGCTTGGAGTTTGCCCGTTGTGTCATCCTGTGTTGCGCATTTAACAGATTGGCCTGGAGTTCTTTTATCAGTCCATCCCTTTCCATAAGCATTTCGTCAATTGTGGCAATTTTACTGGCATTTGCTGTGTAGCGTGGGATTGTGGGTGGTGGACGCCCATATAGTGCTTGAAAAGGAGTCATTTTGAGTCCCTCATGGTAGGTAGTATTTATACAATATTCAGCCCAACAAAGGAAATCGTACCAGCACATTGGGCGAGCATGTGTAAAAGCCCGGAGGTATTGTTCTAAGCCTCGATTAACCACCTCCGTTTGCCCATCAGTTTGGGGGTGATATGCCATGCTTCGTTTGAGTGTAGTTCCGTTAAGACGAAAAAGCTCTCTCCAAAAGGAGCTCATAAAAATCACGTCGCGGTCGGAAATGATTGAGTCTGGGAAACCATGCAATTTTACCACCATGGTTGTGAACAACGCTGCAACTTTTGGCGCATCAAATCCTGTTGGCAATGGACCAAAATGAGCGACTTTTGACAACCGATCAACCACCACTAATATGACAGTGAATCCTCGAGATGACGGTAGATGGGTGATAAAATCCATTGTAACTTGCTGCCACACCATATCTGGGACTGGTAATGGTTGGAGAAGGCCTGCAGGCGGTTGAGTGGAATATTTTGTGTGCTGACAGGTAACACAAGAAGCCACAAACTGCCTAACTTCGTTACGCATATTGAGCCAAAAGAATGTTGTTAACAGTTTTGCCAACGTCCGTTTAACCCCTGGATGACCTGCTATTGGTGCCGTGTGGAATTCATGCAAAATACTATTCTTGAGGTTCGAATGTTGGCTAATAAAGAAACGATTGTTGTGGAAAACTATACCGTCATGAACCGTGAAAGGAGGCAACAGTGTACCAGCACGTGCTTTAGTGTGTAGAGCTCGAAGATCCTCCAAAGAAGTATTTTCAGCTCTAATATCATCAATCAGGGACGGTAATGGTTGGCACAAAACAGAGAACAAGGTAGCTGCCCCATCATCCTCCCAGGATTCCACTCGTGACAAGGCATCCGCTGCTTTATTTGTGGTTCCTGGCTTATATTCAATGGTGAAGCGGAACCCCAATAACTTCCGAATATAAAATTGTTGATCTGGTGTGTGTACTAATTGTTGCCACAACTCCTTGAGACTACGGTGGTCGGTTCGTATGATGAAAGAACGACCTATCAAATATTGACGCCATTTATGCACTGCCTCCACAATGGCATAGAGCTCGCGATGATAAGTTGAGGCCGCTTGTAATCGAGATCCTAGCTTTTTGCTGAAAAAAAGCTAAGGGTTGGTTATCTTGCATGAGGACTGCACCCACCCCTATGATTGAGGCATCAGTTTCCAGTACAAATGGCTTTTCAAAATCTGGCAATCGCAAAACGGGGGCCGTGGACATAGCATGCTTAAGGGCTAAAAAAGCCTTGTGTGCTTCCTCTGTCCATGTGAAAGCATCTTTCTTCAATAAATCAGTGAGGGGTGCAGCAATGTGAGCATAATGACGTATAAAACGCCGGTAATATCCCGTCAACCCAAGAAACCCACGTAATTGTTTAACAGTCTTTGGAGTTGGCCAATTGTTCATGGCAGCTACCTTTTCCTCATCTGCATGAACTGCCCCTTCACTAATAATGTGTCCCAAATAGTCTACGGAGGTCTTGCAAAAAGAGCATTTTGTGAGTTTCACATAAAAAAATTCAGCTCCCAGAGTCTTGAGTATGATATGGAGGTGCTGCACATGAAGCTCCATGGATGGGCTGTAGACCAAAATGTCATCGAAGAAAACGATGACAAAATTTTGTAAGTAGGGAGAAAACAGACGATTCATTGTGGCCTGAAATGTTGACGGGGCATTCGTCAACCCAAAGGGCATTACTAGAAACTCATAATGGCCTTCATGTGTCCGGAATGCTGTCTTGAAAATATCTTCATCGTGCATCCTAATTTGGTGATACCCTGCTCGAAGATCAAGTTTAGTAAAATATTTAGCACCACCAAGCTCATCAAACAGTTCGTCAACGGTGGGTATCGGAAAATGATCCGGCACTGTAACTTTGTTTAAGGCCCGGTAGTCGACACAAAATCGTGTACTCCCATCCCTTTTTTTGACCAACAACACTGGTGAAGAAAACGGGCTAAGACTTGGGCGGATAATCTCTTGTTCGAGCATGTCCCGAACCAACTTCTCTATTTCTGTCTTTTGATAGTGGGGGTAGCGATAAGGACGCACATTCACTGGTTTCGTATTAGGTAACAGATGGATTTGATGGTCGGTTTGCCGTCGAGGTGGGGGGCCCGACGGAGTCTGAAACACAGTTCTAAATTGTTGTAGCACATTCTGAATTTGAACAGGAACGTCATCAGGGAATTGAATGTCGTCGTGCACTGAGGAGCTGGTTGTGTGCAAAAATAACTCGTAACCCTCCATGATTTCATTTTCTGAGAATAACGCTTGCAGGTGATGAAAAGAAATTTATGTGGGCAACAATGGTTGGTCACCTTGCAACAAAATATTCTACCCCTGCCAAGAAAATTCCATGGTTAGTTCGAAGTAATCATGTGTTATCTTTCCAAGTTCCTATAACCATTGAACACCGAGGATAACATCAGGTCCTTGAATGGGTAGAACAAAAAAATTGACAGCAAATTCATGGCCCTGCAGCTTCAACGGGCTTGATTTGCAGAGCATATTACATGCCAAAGAATCTCCATTGCCAATGTAGACCCGAAACGATTTAACAATAGTGAGGGGAAGAGCTAGATTCTCAGCTACGGCGGGCTGAATGAAATTGTGGGTGCTTCCACCATCAATGAGGACTTGCACTTGACCATTTCCTATGAACCCCATGAGACGTAATGATCGTGGCGTTCCCGATCCAGATAGAGAGTTCAAACTGGAAACGTCTCCGGTCAAAAGCTGCTCATTAGATTCCATGGCCTCCTCAATGTCTTCCTCGTGTGCTTCAAACAAGAGGAAACGGTTGGGGCACTTATGATTGCGGGACCACTTCTGATCACAACTAAAACAGAGGCCCTTCTCAATTTTCTCTTGGCGCATAGCTGGGGTAATATGTTTTACCGGTAATGATAAGGGTGTATTTCTGTGTATATTTGAAGGGTTTTGAATCTGGGCAGTTGGCTGGTGTGGTTGTGGGTTATGTGGAACTGGATATGGGGCTATTTGGGAGGAGTTTGGGTAGTGGCGTCTTTGTACTGGCAAGGCCGTAGTCCGTAGTTCTGTCTGGAAATCAATATGTTGTGCCTCAACCTCATGTGCTAAAGCAAACGCAGCAGTTAGTGATGCTGGTTTGGCTCGCATAACCTCCCTACGGATCAGCGGTTTCAGCCCTGCGATGAACATAGAAATTAAGACCGGTGTTGGAACGTTAGTTACCTTGTTCAAAAACTTTTCATATGCACTACGGTATGCTCCAACCGTCGTAAGCTGTGTTAGTTTTGAAAGTTGGCCAATGAAATCTTCAAAATGAGACGGATCAAATCGCAACTTGACTTGAGTTGTAAAATCTAACCACGAAGTCAAGAGACGGTTGTTCTTCATCCAACGGAACCATTCCGAGGCCTCTCCTTCCATCAATAATGATGTAACCCGTAGTCGTTGTTCAGATGAAATATTATTGTATTCAAAATATTCTTGAGCCCGAAAAATCCATCCGTCGGGGTCAATCCCTGAGAATTTTGGAGGATCAAACTTGAGGCAATTTGGCCTGTTATTTGAGTCGGAAAAAGTGGTGTGATGACCGATGTGTGGTGGATCCGACATGTCTTGTTGTGTGGGCATGGATGGCATTGATATGCTCATATTGTCCATGGTCTGCTGAAGTTGATGCATGGACCGTTGCAACGCCTGTGTGCTATGATGTGTAAAAAGGGCTTGTTGATTCAGTTGTTGCTGCAAAGCAGAGATAGATGCTTCTCACGGCTGTTCCGAAGGATTCTGGTTACTACCTTCAGTGTCAACTGGGGGGGTTTGAGTGGTGTTTGAAGTTGACATGGTGGGTAGGCAAAATAGAAAAAAAAAAACGAGAGGTGAGGACAAAAATGAAAGCACCAATTGATACGCTAGCGTATCGTTGTACCTTTCGAGCAAGTACGGCTCCTTAGTTACGAGCTTCGAGTGCACGTAAAACTCCAAAGACAAGAATTAAGAAAAACAATGCTTGAATTCTTCTTACTGCAATAAAACAAAGGTGCGTACAATATATAGAAAACTTATTGAATGTAAACAAATTAATCTTTCCTTGCTAGCATGATTCCTTCCTTTTCAGTGATACCATCCAATCTTCTCAATCCTTTAATTATAGACATAATCATTTGTCATCCATCTAGCCTTTTTCTTCTCTCGATTTGTCCTCCTCAAATTAATGTTCTTTCCTTGTATAATGGATCTTTCCTTGTCTGGTTCAGAAGGTTCACGAGTTTGTGTCATGGTAGTTGGCGTAACAGCTTCGTTCTGATTGTAGACTCTACAAGGATGGTTGAGGAGTAGAGAATGGAAAATGAGCTCCAGTGAATACTGATGAGTCTGGTACCACCCTCTGCCAAGCTTCTCTATGGGCTCTCCCATGGCTCCGTTGTTGAAATATTTACAGAGATTTTCCCAGGGCATCATGTCACCGCACTGGGATACCAAATCTTTGTTGAACTTTGCAGGCAATTCATATACATAAACTCCCCCGCGATCACTGCAGGTTGAGGTTGATTCACTGATCTGATGAACAGACGAGGTGGACCACGAGCGCTGCTCTGTTATCAGCTCGTCAACATTCCTATAAGCACCCTCCATCTCCTCATTCCCACTTCTGAAACTGACAACTTGATTCCCAATAGGAATAGTATTGTTGTTGGGCTTCTCTATCATCATCAGCAGAGAATTATTATTTTTCTCATCATCATCTGTTTCATTATTGACAGCTGCAGGGAGTTGAAGTGCGATATTGGGTTGAGTGCCGGCTGAGATGTAGTAGACGTTGTGGAGCTTTCGGGCAGAAACGCAGACGTGAAGTAAGGTGCCGGAAATAATGGTGGTAGATGAAGACCATAGGAAGATGAGAATGAGGATGAGAATTGCGGCGGAAGGGAGACGACGGAGCAGCGGGAGGAAAACACTATTACTAGGGCTGATGAATTCTTGTTGTTGGGGTTTTGGTTTCTTGGAACTTAGCAGCCTGGATTTCTTCTTAACAGCAGCAGCAGCGACTGCCATGGCTAGTCACAGGCTGAGCGGCGATGTTCTAATCCGCATTTATCAAATGCGTCTATGTGTATACGACAGCTGCATTTGGGAAATGCGGCTGTTGTATATTATACGACATCCGCATTTCTCAAATGCGTTGTCAGTACCGTAGAATCGCGCCCCACCCGAGTTTGGGAAATGCGGTTTTGACCCCAACCGCGTTTCCCAAACTCGGTTTTCCTATTCTTGTCAAAAAAAATATTCTCATTATTGTCCATAGCCCTTTGTCTCTTCCCATTTCAGTCAAAAACCCATGTTTGGAAGCTTAAAGTTCCAAACAAAATCGCCATGTTCATTTGGACTCTCAAACACAAGTAAATTATGACAAACTTGGAGAGAAACAAATGAGGCTTCACCATGGATCCACGATGCCCGAGCTGCAACTGCCAGAGAGAAGACGCGGACCACTGCGTATGTTATTTCAAGGAGGTTGCGGATATTTGGGAAGTATTATTACCCCATGGGGCCAAGTATGAATTTTTTTCAAAAAATTTTGATAGTTGGCTAACGAGTAATGTGGCAGGTAAAGTAAATGGAACGAAAGTGGAGAGCTGGGGAGAAACCTTTGCGTACACAGTATGGTGGATCTGGAGATGGCGCTGCAACAAAGTGTTTGGAAAGGAATCATGGGATTGGAAAATGAAGGTCAAGTGGATCCAAGACCAACATAGAGAAGCAATAGTGGCTTTTGCCAAGAAGAAAGCTCTGGGCGAAAAATGCAGAATCAAGAGGCAATACGGGAATAAACATGATGAAAGACATACCATCCACACAGATGTTGCATTCAATGTGAGCCATGGGCTGATTGGATGCAGATGAGTGCTAAGGAAGGCAAATGGCGATTGGCAGAGAGGATTCAGTAGCTCAACAAGAACAACCCGTGCAACGGAAGGAGAATTGCGAGCAATTTTACTGGGGATGGAGTGGGCATGGGCGAACGGGATAAGAAAACTAAGAATTTTACATGATTCGAACCAAGCAATTGAGTGGATCAACAATGGCCATATCCTACAAGGCCCTTGTGCGAGTTTAGTAAAAGAATGCAAAGCCTGGCTTCAAAAGGAATAGGAAATCACATGTGAGTACACCCCTCGCGAGGAGAACTGTGTCGTGGATAAGCTTGCAAAGGAAACTGTCAAAAACCGATGCGAATGGACGGATTTCTTCAACCCCCCTGAGAGCATTTTAGACTACCTGGAGATTGATAGAGCTCATACGTTGTTTAACAAACAAAAGTTTGTTCATTGGGTATCTCCTCCCTCTCACCCAACAAAAAAAATTGTTGACGATGACAAGATTTTCTATGTAAACTTTTATTCAAATATGGCATTGATTTGATATATCTTTAATTTTTTTTTTTATAAATTTTTTAAAAAAAGAATATGTGTGTATGTGTTTGTGTATATGGATTATAGTGTATGTGCAAATATAATTTAATATACCTCTTTGGAGTAACATTGATCTATATACTCATCATGTTCAACTGTGTCAAGTATAGCACACAGTGCATGGAGAGTTGGAGAATAGGGATGTTAATTAAATCCCAAGATTTGTACAAACAACTCCTAGCTTGTAATTTTACTATAAATTGTTATATACCACTCTTCATCTCATAAACATTGTCGAAATCCACGCTCTATCGAGATTTCTCATTATTAGTTTCATTCAACTTCTTCATAATGAAAATCAAGTAGTTTCTGCACCATTTTGCAACATTTCTGCACTTAATTACAACACTCTTCATCATAACAACTATTATATCTTCAAGCATCGGAATCAGTAAGTGCGGAATTCGGCTCATGTATGTAATAATTTGGGTGCACAATATTCTAAAAGAGATTGGTGTAGGTCAAGTTACCTATTAGGTTGTTGTGTAACAATGGTGTTGCTATACATATTGCGAACAATCTGGTTTTCCATGAAGGGATGAAACATATTAAAGTTCATTGTCATTTCATTTTATATGAGAGAAAATGCAACAATAACTGATATCTGTTGTGCATGTTCACAATTGTGATCAAGGAAATTTATATCGTGGACCTTTGATCAAAACGACGTCATTTGATGTTTTAAGCTTTAACAGACTCCGTAACGTTTCGTTTCTCATGTTTTAACACAAATTTTAATTTATTTTATGTACAGAATCCTTACGCTTAATGTACATAATTGCATAACATGATGTACATAAACGCATAACACGAGATACATACACATGTTTTTTATTTTACTTATTCTCAAATCTGATTTATTAAATAATTTAGGTCATATAGGCACATAATTTCATAAAATAAGACATAAATTCGTAAAATAAGACACACAATATGTTTTGTATTATACAACTACTAATCAATTTCATGTACAGAATTGCATAACATGATGTACAAAAATGCATAACAGAAGATGAGATACATACACATGTTTTCTATTTTACTTATTCTCATATCTAATTTATGTAAATAATGTATATCCTTTATGCACATGATTTCATAATACAGGACATAAATTCGTAAAATAAGACACACAATATATTTTGTGTTATACAACTACTAATCAATTTCAGGTACATAATTCTTACGCTTAATCTACAGAATTGAATAACATGATGTCCAGAAATGCATAACACGAGATACATACACATGTTTTCTAATTCACTTATTCTCAGATCTGATTTGTGTAAATAATTTATGTCCTATAGGCACATAATTTCATAATACAAGACATAAATTTATAAAATAAGACACACAATATGTTTTGTGTTATAGAACTACTAATCAATTTCAGGTACAGAATCCTTATGCTTAATGTACAAAATTTCATAACATGATGTACAAAAACATATAACACGAGACACATATACATGTTTTACAGTAAAAAATAAAACTTTTGTAACGCGAACTTAACAATAAACGATCGCCATTTAAAATTAATGTTCAAAACAACGTCGTATAGGACTAGGGTCCACAGTATAACGATTGGGTGATCAACTAGTTGACATATTCACAAAAGGGTTGAGCAGGCTAGGTGTTGGACTTCATATGCTCCCATTTGAGGGGAGTGTTAGAGAAAATAAGTGTTGGTTGAGAGAGTTACTCTCAACTACTAGGTTTGAATATTTAAATCTTTGTGGTTGTGGTCTACACTCGGCTTGTATAAGTAGCTAATAGTCCTTGTACATTTATCACAAGATATCACTATCTAACCTTAAAAATGATTGTTTTTATAGTTGAAGATTAAATATTACAATAGGGAAAATGATGATTTTAGTCCGTTAATTGTACCTAAATTGTAGAATTAGTTCATGAATTATTACTCTATACAAATGTTATCTTGTAATTATGTTGAAAGTGACGGTTTCAATCCATTACTTATAGATTTTGCTAATGTTAACAAGAGCAAATTATACTTTTGGTCCTATGACTATAAGGGACGTGTTAATTTTGGTTCGTGACTTTTAATTAAAACTAACAATTTAGTCCTTTAACTACGCTTTTTTTAGCAGATTTAGTCATCCCGGTCAAATCACCGGCCAAATGTCGTCGAAATCTTTTAATCCCTTTTAATTATTTTAATTTGGGGGCAAATTGGTCATTTCCTTCTTCTTCATCCTCCTTCTTGGTTCTTCTTCTCCTGGTCTAGTACAAGGTTCAAACAAGAAAATTAGGATTTTTTTTATCAAACACTAGGAAACCTGAAGTTGCGTGTTTACGTAATATGTTAATAACAATGTGAATGCCTCAAAAAAAAAAAAAAAAAAAAAAAAAAAAAAAAAAAAAAAAAAAAAAAAAAAAAACAATGTGAATGCCTTTGAGCTGCTGAGTTATTGAACCAAGGGTAATTCCTCTAGTTACTCTGCAGATCGGAAACACGGGTTTGGATAGAAACACTATAGCAATTGCGACTACTATGAAGGGCATTGGAAGTGGAATTTACAGGACGGCCAAGGGAAGTATATGTGGAAGAATGGCAACGAGTACGTCGACGAATGGAAAACCGGAATGATTCACGGCAGGGGAAGAGGGTTTAGGCGGCGGCAGGGGCGGAACCAGGACTAAAGAATGCGGGGGGCCAATCACGATTTAAAACTGAATAATGAAATTATATTAATTACTGTTAAATTAGTAATTTCATTTGTTTGGTTCGCTAGAAAATATTTGAAGGGAAATGGAATTGAAATTCCATGAAAAATAAATTCCATGAAAACTAATTCAATTGTTTGGTTGGTGGAAAAGAAATTACTGGGAATATGAATTCCATTGTTTGGTTGGGTTTAGAATGATAAGGAATACATAATATAAATACCAATATGCCCTTAGAAAGATGAATGAATAAATAGGTACCTATGTAATTAAGAAACTTTCATAAGGGTAAAACAGTACACTCATGTTCTTTTTCTTGCCAATCCTTGTGGAAAACAAAATCTCACCCCTTTGCAAAGAATTTATTTTCCTCAACTTTAAGGAATTCATTTTCTAATGGAAAATGTTTTCCATCCAACCAAACAACATAAACCAACATTTTCCTTCACTTTTAAGAAAACATTTTCTATGGAAAATGTTTTCCATCCAACCAAATACTGGTACTAGCTTAGATTTTGCAAATAGACATGATTTTCTTAAGAAAAAATATTACATATACAATTGCAAATACTGGTACTAGCTAGATTATAGGAGATAAAGAATCTGGCCACAGAAACGCAGAGTTTTACATAGTAATATGAAGAAAAACGGTGCCATCCCCTGACAAGTGTAACCCATGGAAAGCACAAATTCCCTTCTGTCCACTCGCTTAGATTTTGTAACCCATGGCAAGCACAAGCACAAATTCCAATTTCCTTTTACTTCATGAGCTCAGCCCGTAAAACCACCGATCACAATTTCAAAAAAAAAAAAATTTGAATGGGACAAGGGGGCCAAAAAGAAATCATTGTAGTATTAATAAAATAAAATAAAATTGGGGGGGGGGGGGGGGGGGGGGGGGAGGGCAAGTGCCCCCTGCAATATATATGTGCCTCCGCCCCTGGGCGGCGGCTTATTCGGCCACAAGCTAGCTACGCCATTAATGGCGGAAGAGAATTGCGGAGCAGTTATGAGGAAGAGGGCATCACACATAGCATGTATAACGCTGCTAAGATTGAGGGAAGATGCATACAAATATCTAGTGTTTGGAAAATTTCATTGGCAATTTGCAGTTTGTAAATTTCACCCATCTCGCAGTTCTGATTTGTCATTGGCAAATTTCTAGTGTTTGGTTTTTTATTGTTTTTTTTTATTATTCAATTACAGCATCGATAAAATAATTTTTGAATTTGTATAAAAACCATTACACCGTTCTAGAATTGCATCTGCACACCTCTCTGTTTTTTTTTTTTTTTTTTTTTTTGCTCTAGTTGGGCATTTGAAGAAGAACCAAGAAGAATGTTGAGGATTTTAGAAATTAGGGTTCTTCTTTGCTTCACATAGACTCCAGCAACAATTCCAACAATTTTCAGCTTATTTTTAACACTTAAAATGATCTATTTATCCCCTATATTTAATTTAAAATGAAAACGTATTTCTGGCCAATTTCTAATGGTGATTTGGCCGGGAGGACCAAATCTGCTAAAAAAAACATAGTTAAAGGACTAAATTGTTAGTTTTAAAAGTCACGTACCAAAATTAACACGCCCCTTATAGTCATATGATCAAAAGTGTAATTTGCTAATGTTAACAATTTATTTTGAATTTTCAAATTGATCATTTTACAAATTTTCCCAAATTGCTTAGCTTCTTTGAGTCTTAATCTACTATACTAATAAGAGCCCAAGAGGCCTATAATGGGTAGAAAAAAAGGCGGTCAAATTTTTTAATCAAATAAATGGCTCATATTGATCAGATTTTAATTTTTCCTTAAGATTTTCTAATTTATCCTTAATGAATATGATTATCCGTTAAATTTTCCGTTAAATATTATCTTTTCCGTTAATTTCTGTTAGTTCACCGTTAACTTACTCATTAATTTCAATAAGAAAGGTCTTTGGTTCGAACCACATCTCAATCAAAGTTGGCATAATTAGTACTCTATTTTACTCTTATTAAATTAAAAATAATAATTTAGTAGCTACAACAAAAAATAATACATATGCATCTCTTTAATTTAGAATTATGTGTCTACAATGTCTTTATTCAAAAAAAAAAAAAAATTTATTCATTATCAATAAATTAAATAAGAGAAATAATTTCATTAGTTATATTGTATTTATTTTTCTCCAATATAAAAATTCTTTACATTCAAATTCATCAATTGATTATATTCGCTGCATTGTCCCTACAATGTCTTTATTAAAAAATTATTCATTATCAATAAATTAATTAAAAGAAATAATTTTATTAGTTGTATTATCTTTATATTTCTCCAATGTAAAAATTCTTTACATTCAAATTCAATTCATCAATTGATTATATTCACTACATTGTCTATTATCTTTTTTGTGCACTATTTTTTTAATTAAATATCAAAGTTATAATACAAAATAATGCTATATATTTATTTACCAAGTATTTTATTAATACCATGAAAAAATTAAAAAATATATATAATTAATAAAGTCAATCATATTAACTACTTGGGGGATTTGTTGACAAAGAGAGTATTCAAATCACACAACAAATTGAAGTGAGAACTACCTCGCAATGTCCTTGTTTGACAATCAGCAGTTAGCGGTTAGCGGTTAGCGTTAGTGGATTATATTAGCGAATTTGACCAGCGAATTATATCAACGGATGGTAAAAAGATATTTGAAAAAATTAGCTGTTTAGATTAACATGTAAAATGACCTAAGGGTATATAATAATAATAATAATAATAATAATAATAATAATAATAATAATAATAATAATAATAATAATAATAATAATAATAATAATAATAAAGCTATATGGTTTGTGAAGTAATTAATGTTACAATGAAAGCCACAACATCCTTTATTAAAAAAAAAAAAAAAAAAACACAACATTTGAAAAATAAAATAGCTATATATTATATAATCATATAAAAAATGTACTTTTGAAAAATAAAATAGCTATATATTATATAATCATATAAAAAGTGTGTTCAATTAGAGTTTAAATTTACTCATACAAAATTTGAAATTTGTTTTCCAAATGTAATTATCTTAGTTATTATTCGTATTGTGAAAATTATAATATAGATAAAATACAATTAAACATAAATCAATGTAATTATGTAAATTCTATCTATTAAGTTTATTTGAATATGCACATAATTAGAGATTATACTAACCATACAAAATTTTAATTTTAATTTTAATTGTAATTTTGTATTCTATAAAAATAATAAATACTTGATCAATGGAAGCTCAAAATATTATTATATTAAATAATTTAAAATATTTTAATTTTTCTATTTTTATTTATATTTATAATAACATAATTTTATCTCGTGCATCGCGCGGGTGAATTACTAGTAATAATAATAATAATAATAATAATAATAATAATAATAATAATAATAATAATAATAATAATAATAATAATAATAATAATAATAATAATAATAATAATAATAATAATTGTTTTTAAAAAATAAAAAATAAAAAAAGTATAATTAAGCCAATCATATTAACTACTTGGGGGATTTATTGACAAAAAGAGTATTCAAATCACACAATAAAATTGAAGTGGGAAACTATCTCGCAATTTCCTTGTTTGGCAATCAGCAGTTAGCTCTTCAATAATAGTATATATTTAATATTTTATGCCCTAATTTTTGTTTACTCTCTTTTATGTCCTGTATTTGGTTTCAATCATACCTATACAATTATTTCAATTTTGGTCACATGACTATAGAGACTTTGTTAATTTCAGCACCTAACTTTCAAAAGTGTCAATTTAGTACCTTGAGTATGTAATTTTTGTCAATTCTGGTCACTCCGACCACATTGCCGGCCAAATTTGACCGGAAAAATTTAATCCAACATTTGGTCTGTAATCTGTGGGGCAAAATGGTTTTTTGATCCTTTCTCCTAATTGTTGTTGACCAGGTTCGACTTTAGCTTCTCTGGCTTACATATTTCCGCTGAGGTTTTGGCGTCATTATCCAACAACGGACTACCGGAGGACGGCGGCTGGCGGCGCTGCATCGGCAAAACAGCGAATCATTAGTATCCACGGTGCCGCAAGATATTAAGTTTCGGAAAATGCTTGAACCTCTGCCGTCGCCGCCGCCGAAATTGCTCCAGCTCTTACCGAACGTGGAATTCAAGGTTGTTGAGTGCGGCGTGCCACTCTTTTCCTCGTCGTTGCGCTTCTTCTTCACGAACAGCGAGCGAAGGGAGGAGGATTTCTAATCGGCGTCGACGTTGCGCCTTCCGTCATGCAGCTCTTCTTCTTTTTCAAGCTGAACCGGGTCAACAACAATTAGGAGAAAGGATCAAAAGACCATTTTGCCCCTCAGATTATAGACTAAATGTTGGATTAAATTTTTCCGGCCAAATTTGGCCGGAAATTTGGTCAGAGTGACCAAAATTGACAAAAATTACATACTCAAGGTACTAAATTGACACTTTTGAAAGTTAGGTGCTGAAATTAACAAAGCCCCTATAGTCATGTGACCAAAATTGAAATTTTCTCCAATTATAATCAATCTTGGCTATATTATCTTGCATTTGTAAACTTAGATTTGCCTATTTAAATACGCAAATTTAACATTCAATTATCTATGTATGAACAATTCCAATAAAATCTTGCCTTGATATACTTTAAAATACTTATTTAAAAAAAAAAACATTGGACATTATCCCAATCGCGCAATGAGCGTAAAAAACTAGTATATACAATAAGAGTTGAGTGGGCTTGGGATAAGGGTTTCCGGAAGGTGATCGTCCAGAGCGACTCTAAAAAAGTTATCAATTGGATCAATGGGAACCACCATCCTTTAGGTCCTTTGGGTAATGTCATTGAGAGCTGCAAACAGTGAAAAGCTAGAGATTGAGAGATTAACATTCAACATGTGTTGCGGAATAAAATGTGGTGGCGGATGTCTTGGTGAAACACGTGAATAATTGGGACGAGATGATCCACACACACATTTGTGCAAAATCTTTGCTAAATATTGTATTGATTGAGGAACTAAGCAAAAATGATAAGCAAGAGATTACTTAGGATTGAAAATACACAGAATTGTAAGTTTAATATGTTAGTTTATTACAATTTTTTTTGTTTTTGTTTTATGTAAATTACACTTTGATATCTCATTGAGTTCATACCTTAATAGGTAATATATGCAATTTAGTGATTTTAATATGCTATGTAATTATATTTAGTCTAAATAGTATTTAGGGAAAATTGTAATTTATACCCCTTCATAATATGCAATTATCAATGTCACTTCTAAATTATTAGTGGTGTAAATGTTGTCCATCAATGTTAAAAAACGGTACATATATTGTCCATCTGTAGTGTAAATGTTGCCCCTCAATTTTTCTCTTGTACGGTACAGGAGGGACAATATATGTACCGTTTTAAAAATTGATGGGCAACATTTACACCACTAATAATTCAGGAGCGACATTGATAATTGGCATATTATGAAGGGGCATAAAAAACTACAATTTTCCTTAGTATTTAATTTGTATGTATTATTGTATTTAATTTCTTTGGAGGATGCAATCATTTTTTTTACCATATCATGATGTAAGTTTTAGATTTAGTGAAAATTGGATGGATGAGATAATTATATTTATTGGTCTTTAAATGATCAAATAATGAGAAAAAAAATATACGAGATATAATGACATAACCTGAAAATTGCAAATTGCATACACAAAGAAATGATCAAGCATGAATTTGAAATTAGTTGGTATTCTTAATATGCTAAAATATTGAGAGTAAATGGTGCAAATAAAAAATAAATTTATAGTGGTTTAGTTTTTTTTTTTTTTTTTTTTTAAATTATTATGAAAAGGATATGGTGGTTTATATGTAAAAATTAGAGAGAATTTGTAAAAATTATATGAAATGATTAATATGTTTTTTAATAATTTAAAAATTTAAAATAAATTGTTAATAATAATAATAAAATCAAGTAATGTTTTAAAACTGTCATTTTTAACTAATTAAGGAATTTTTTTTTTATATAGAATAATAATTGATCGATGAGTCTATAATTTAAATATAATATTACCATTTTTCCTATCCTATTATAATAAGGACGACGATAAATATATAATAAGTTTCTTTTCCCAATAGAATTAGTCTTTTGTTGACCGCATAACCCACATGTCAGTACCGCGTGATTGTCACGTTTGCTTCATCTCAAAGGCCTCTCAGACATATAAATACCCGTCCTTAACTGTCTTCTTCGATCGCGTTCTAATCTGAATATCTGATTCGCAATGTCTCAAGCCTCTTTCTTATTCTAGAAGGTTTCGGATAGCTATTTCAGATTCAGAGTCATGGATTGGTTTGATTAATTAGTGTTTAGTTATCCTATGCTTGATTTGCTGGAAATTTGGTTTCTGTGTTTATCGGATGCCAAACATGTCTATTTCCAATTACTCATGTTCGTCTGTATGCCTTTCATGTTGATGTTGCTCAGATCGTGGATTTCATGTCAAGTAACAGGGATTCGGATTTGTTCTAGTTGAACGAAATAGATCGGTTTGCTCAATACGCGTTCAGCTTGATTTTCTGGAAATTTAGCGTTTATATTGATTGGTTGCTTAAGATGTCTCTTTTTGATTAGTTATTGTTGGTATGTCTGTGTCATGAATTGATGTGATTCGGATTGTGCATTCGATTTCAGCGGCGAGCTTTCGTATTTCTTTTGGTTGAGAGGCATGGATCCGTTTGACAATACGTGTTTGGTTAACCAATGCTTGATTTTCTGTAAATTTTGGTTTCAGTCGTCTTGATCGGTTGCCAAAGATGTCTATTTCCAGTTACTCATGTTCGTCTGTATGTCTTGTTATGTTGATGTAGCTCAGATCGTGGATTTGATCTCAACTGAAAGATTTTGGCCGTGTTCAAGTTTAACAAATATATTGGTTTGATTTGTACGCCTTCAGTTATCCTATGCTTGGTTTTCTGGAACTTCTCATATATATATATTGATCAGTTGCTAAACATCTGATTTGGATTATTTATTGTTCGTATGTCTTTCATGACTTGGTTTAGTTTGGATTGTGGATTTGATCTCAGCACCAAGCTTTTGGATTTCTTTGGGTTGAACATGGAGTTGGTTTGATTAATTCGTATTTGGTTACCCTGTGCTTGATTTTCTAGATATTTTGGTTCATCTTGATGAGGTGCAAAGATTTCTCCTATCATCTATGTTCGTCTATATGTCTTGTCTAGTTGATGTAGCTCAGATTGTGGATTGGATGTGAACTGCAAGGTTTTGGATTCATTCGGGCTGAAATTGGTTTTATCAATGCTCTTTTCAGCTATCCTATGCTTGATTTTCTTGAAAATTTCTGTTTAATTTTACTCCGTTTGCACATTATTATTCTTTATAGGTCTGTCATCAATTGAAGTTATTGTTTGTTAATCATGGATTATGTTTGTAAATCTTTTTTTGTTGATGCAGATTAGATTGTGGATTTGATACCATCTGCAATGAAACAGAATGGTTTGATCAATACACACTCAGTTATCCTAAGCTTGGTTTTCTTGAAATTTCATATCCTTGTCAATTGTCACTTGGGTTTCTGAGTATTTATTGTTGGTCTGCCTGTCTTGGCTTTGATGGTGTAGTTCAGGTCTTGGATTCAATTTCATCTACAAGGTTTTGGGTTACTTGTTGAATGGCATGGATGGGTTTGATTAAGTAGTTTGGTTTTCTAATTGATCTGTTCCTAAAGATTTCCCCATCCAGTTACTTATTGTTCTGTCTTGGCTTGATGTAATTCAGATCATGGCTTTGATGTCACCTGCAAAGTCTTGGATTCTTGTCCTGGTTGAACAACGTAGATCGGTTTGATTAGTTTATTTTGTCTATTTTAAGCTTGATCTTCTGGAAATTTTGGTTTGTATATGAATTGTTGTGATATCCATTTTCCACTATGTTGATGATCTTTTGAGGTGTAGTTCAACTTGGGGGGTGCACAATGGACTGCAGGTGCAGCAGGGGTCATTGAACTATTTTGTTTAGAAGTGTTTAGCCAAACTTTTCTAATTCTTCAATGCTCTCATTCTCATAATTCTTCCCAAAGTTGATGAATTTTGTAATATGAGGCTCACAGGTTAGCAAGAGGTCTAACGAATGACATAGAGTGGTTTGATTGATAAGATACATTTATCCTATGCTTGATTTTCTTGAAAGTTTGCATTTATATTGATCGGTTGCTTAAGATTTCTGTTTCCGATTATTTATTGTTTGTATGTCTGTCATGACTTGATGTAGTTTCAATCGTGGATTCGAATTCAGCTGCTGCTTTTGGATGCCTTTTGGTTGAACGACATGGATCAAATTGGTAATACTTGTTTGGTTATCTTATGCTCAGTTCTCTATAAATTTTGGTATGTCTTGATCGGTTACTGAGGATGTCTATTTCCAGTTACTTATGCTCGTCTGTATGTCTTGACATGTTGATGTAGCTCATATCATGGATTTGATATCAAGTTCAATGCTCTGGATCTGTTCTAGTTGAGCAAATAGATCAGTTTGATCATTAAGCGTCAATTATCCTATTCTTGGATTTCTGGAAATTGAGTTCTTATTGATCGGTGGCTTTCAATTTCTCTTTCCGATTATGTATTGTTGGTTTGTCTGTCATGTCTTGATGTAATTTGGATCACGGATTTGGTTTCAGCTGAAGCTTACGTGTTGAACAATGTGGATTGGTTTGACAAGCTTGGTTTTATTCCTTCATCACTCATCAGCATGCTTGGTTGAATGATGTGGATCGGTTTGGCAAGCTTTTGGATTTCCCTTCACTAGTAGACACATTTATCTAATTATCTCTCCTTCATCAAATAATCAGTTAAATATTTGTACCTTTGGTCATTTTAATGCTCGGGCTCGTTTCTGGCTTGATGTTCTTTTGAGGTGTAGTTCAACTTGGGGGGTGCACAATGGACTGCAGCAAGGGGTCATTGACCTATTTGGTTTGGAAGTGTTTTGTCAAACTTATTTGGATTTTCAATGCTACTTATAGTTCTTCCCAACTTTGATGAATTTTGTAATATTGTTGCTCACAGGTTAGCAAGAGGTCTAACGAATGTAATTGATCGGTTTGATTGATACGATAAGTTATCATATGCCTGATTTTTTTGAAAGTTTGCGTTTATACTGATTTGTTGCTTATGATGTGGATCGGTTTGGCAAGCTTTCGGATTTCCCTTCACTATTAGATACATTTAATATTTTATTAGATTTAATTTAATTTTGTGGGTAGTTCATTAATCCAATGCTAAGAGATTCCATGTAGAGCAGCCCTGTGATGATCATTAGTGGTTTTATCAAGCTTGGTTCTATTCCTTCTAAAATTTTGTCCATGAATTTTTGGTAGTGATTTCCAAAATTTTATCCACTCTTTTACTATGTATTAATTTAGTAAAATCACATTTCTATTTATTGTTCTGCATAATTGCAGGTCTAGATGTATTGTGTGGTCAGATCTGGACATCTCCGATTTGTGAAAATTTTGGTTTGGTTGTGGTTTTTATTATTATTATTATTATTATTATATTATTATTATTATTATTATTATTATTATTATTATTATTATTATTATTATTATTATTATTGTATTGTATTATTATTATTTTGGGGGGCCTTTTCCCTTTCTCCTTCACTAGTGGATATATCATTGTTTGTTTACTCTTAATTTTTCGGGGTTTCTTTGCGCTTGATGTCCTTTTTAGGTTTAATCCAAGATTGTGTGGCTGATTAACTTAATTCCTAGAGGCAACATATAGAGCCAGTCCGCATTCAGTCATTTGATGATCATTAGTGGCGTGCCTTGTTTGTCCAAAGTTCAGTTTGATGCATCAATGCCCGGTTATCTCTCATTCATCAAGTAATCAGTTAAATATTTGTACCTTTGGCCATATTAATGCTCGGGCTCGATGTTCTTTTGAGGTGTAGTTCAACTTGGGGCGTGCACAATGGACTGCAGCAGGGGGTCATTGACCTATTTGGTTTGGAAGCATTTTCTCAAACTTATCTGGATTTTCAATGCTTCTCATAGTTCTTCCCCACTTTGATGAATTTTGCAATATTGTGGTTCACAGGTTAGCAAGAGGTCTAACGAACGTTATTGATCGGTTTGAATGATACGATAAGTTATCATATTGATCTATTGCTTAATATTTGTTTTTCCGATTATTTATCGTTGGTATGTCTGTCATGACTTGATGTACTTCGGATTGTTGATTCGATTTCTGCTGCTGCTTTTGGATGTGTTTTGGTTGACTGACATGGATCAATTTGATAATACGTGTTTGGTTATCTTAAGCTTGGTTCTCTATAAATTTTGGTATATGTCTTGATCGGTTGCTGAAGATGCCAATTTCCAGTTACTTATGCTCTGTATGTATGTCTTGTAATGTTGATGTTAGCTCAGATCGTGGATTTGGTATCAAGTTCAGGGCTCTGGATATGTTTTAGTTGTGCGAATAGATCGGTTTGATCACTACTTGTTCAGTTATCCTATTCTCAACTTTGAATTTATTTTTACCGATGGCTTTCAATTTCTCTTTCCTATTATGTATTGTTGCTTTGTCTGTCATGACTTGATGTAGTTCAGATCACGGGTTCAGTTTCAGCAGCTAGCTTTCAAGTTGGACTATATGGATTGGCTTGACAAGCTTGGTCCTATTCTTCATTATATAGGATTGAGAATCCTATATAATATTAAATTTGTATTTAAATATTTCTTATCAATCAAATAATCAGTTCATTTGTATTTAAATATTTTTTCTTTTACCATATTCATGATTAATGATTAATGATCAGGTTCTTTTCTCTCTTTATGTTCTTTCGTGGTCTAGTTCAGCTTGGAGGGTGCACAATTAATTGCCAGGGGTTATTGACTTGTTCGGTTTGGAAGTCTTTGTCAAGCTTCTTTACTGATTTTTCAATGCTCTCATTCTTCCTCATTCTCCCCAATTTTGATGAATTTTGTAATATTGTGGCTCATAGGTTAGCAAGAGGTCTTACCTAGGGATATGAGCTAGAGCCCAGAGGGTGCCACTGAGATCAGCCATGATAGTCTTCTAATGATCATCATTACAACATTCTATCTGGAAAAATATTTATCCGATAAGTTTGGTTAATACTCTATGTTCTCTTTCATGCTTGCATTGTTGAATTTTTGGATGTTTTCAGTTCCCTAAAATTTCTCCCTTTTTTTATGTGAACATTTTTCTTGTTTCGCCACCCCACTAATAGGCGCTTTTCTATAATTACATATATATGAATTTAATATTATATAGGATTCTCAGTTCTTTGCATGCTTCTAGGTTTGCTCTAGCTTGGAGTACATGATGGATGAGGGCTTTCAAGAGTAAGGAAAATTTGAAGTCTTAATTCTTGGTTTTTATTGATGGTTTCCTTTTTCTATTGTGTGGTCTAGGGTATTGAGCAAGGAACTTCCAGTGAAGTATAGGTTTGACATATCCTACTTCCAGGAATATAACTACTTCATAGTTTTGTGATTTTATTTTATTGCCATGTTATTGAGGTTTATGGCTCCTAAACTTTAGTCTGGTTTGAGACATCCTTTGGTAATGGCCTCCTGAAGGAACAATGGATGTCCTATTTGAGTTTGACCTACTTGGTGCTAGAGTCCAGTTGTTTATTTCTATGCATCCATCCTATCTGAGTTGAAGGAACCTTTCCTGTTACGGTTTTCTTTGACAATGGGGTTGTAATATGAGCTGATAAACAACTTTTTCAGTTGCAATTTGGGAAGAACATGGAGATGAATCTTTAGTTCTAGCATCTAAATTGGTTGATTGGATGTCCTTTCTTTTCAGTATCTGAATCCATGGAGGAGCCCTTTCCTGTTAGGCATTTCCCTGTTTCTATTGTGTGCTACTCAGCAAGGAACTTCTAAGTTCTAACAAAGAGTAAATTTGACATAATCACCTTCCAGGAATCTATTCACATTGGATGCTAAGTATTGTGATTTTATTTTATTGCCATGTTATTGATGTCTATGGATGCTAAAATTCTGGTTTCATTTGAGACGTCTTTGGTAATCTGCCGCCTGACTCTGGAGATGTCCGATTTGATTTATGACCTACCGGTTGCTAGATTCCAATAATTAATTTCTACTATGCATGTTATTGAGGTAAAATTTTCCTTTGATTGCCAACCCTTGTTTCATTGAGTCTCATGATTAATTTGCCACTTACAATGTCTGGAGACAATTCATATACAGAGTAACTAATTCAACTACTGGGTGTTTAATAGGTACTGTTGATTAACGCGTCCTCTTGCTTGTACTATGTATAGAAGCTTGTTATTGGGAGCATGTATGTGCCCTTTTACCTCAATACTTGTGGTAGATTTGCTGGAGTTAGCAACGGATATTCTTTCTTTCCAACCATTTGAGTATTCTTAATTGATCTGTGAGATTTGTCCTTGCACTTTGGGAAAAAAAATGCAGGATTTAGCAGTGGATATTCTTTCTGGCATCTGAATTAAGTACTCTGTGCCATTTGAGTTGATGGGGGAACCTTTCCTTTACGGCTGACTATGGATTGTTGTGTGTGCTGATTAAGTTCTTTACTTAGCAGTGGTTTTTTGTTCAGCATGTTGGCACTTCTGTGGTTTTTTTCACTTGTTCTCTGCCCTCCTATTTGAAGACTGCTTTCTAGAGAAAAGTTTCGCCTTTGTGAAGACTGCTTTCTAGAGAAAAGTTTCGCCTTTGTGAAGACTGCCTTCCCTGATGACTTTATTCAATTGATGATTGCCTGTCAACAATGTTTAAGTTGTTTATGATTTCTCCTTGTGAAGATGCTCTTAAAGACTTGAAGTACTAGAAGTGGGTTTTGTTCTTACCCTCCTACTTGGACTGCTTTTAGAAGGATGATCTCTCTTTTGTGAAGGCTTCTTTTGCTGATCTTTGAAGTTTAAAGATAGCGCAACTTTGATGATATCTCATTGTTAAGATGTTTTTTGGAGTTTTAGAAAAACTTCATTGATTTGGGGTAATGCACCAAGTAGTTAAATCTTCATTGAATATTCATTTTGGGTGGTTCATGAAAGAGCGATGTGATGATTGCTATTTTTGTTCACAACTCTGCTTCTGGTGCTAAGCTGCTCTTTTAAGCTTTTGTTTTTGTTCACAACTCTGCTTCTGGTGCTAAGCTGCTCTTTTAAGCTTTTGTAGTTTTGCTCACATGATGAAATAAGATTGTATAAATGTTTGCTCGTCAGTTATCACCATTTTGTTTGATATTTATATGGGAATCGGAAATCATTTATGAACTTTTTATTGGTAAATATGTTTTTCATGCTTAGTCTTGCACTCTGTTACTCTTTTGTGAAGTTGAAAATAGCAAAAAAGATACCTATTTATATTGGTTCATAATTTGTGTTATCTTGCAGACTTGTATGTGAATATTTGTCTAAATTTCACGTTTAGCAATAGTGGAAGATCTTTTTGTTTTAGTGTTAAATGACATGTCACACACATAGGTTACTTTCATTACAGCTTATTTGAGTGCTTTAGTTGTTGATTGTGGCCCTTCTGGATAAATAAATATTTTCCTATTTAGAATCTAGATTTATCGGTGACCGCCATAGTTTACTAAAACGTTTTTTTTTTACTCTTTGGATCTTATTCAGTTTTATTATTAATATATAATACCTTCACCTTTTGTTTTCAACTTTTATAGTGTCTTTATGTTTATCCATACACGATTCTGATTGTTCTTAAGAAGTAAATATTTAAAAAATATTTTACTGTTGTTACTTTTCAAATAAAAAATAAAAAAATAAAAAAAATTGAAGCGAGCTTTTAAACAACATCAATTTATTATATACGTAAAGATGAAAAGGTCCCTTAGGCTTTTGTTTTCAATTGTTAAATGTTTTTTCGCTCGGTAAGTTATAATTGATGAATGTTGAATTTGGTAAGGTTTACATTATTTTATGTTAGTACTATTTTGTATAAGTTGGAGATGCATGCTGATTAGTTCTGTTTTTTTTAGTGTTAATTTGGTTTTGCTTTTTAACTCCGCCTGTGAAAGCAGCCGGTCCCAAGCCCGGATAAAGGAGGAGGGGAGAGTTAGGCAGCATTTAATTCAAGTTTTTAAAGGGTGTGTTTGGTTCGCACATGAGTATCGGAATCAGAATGGTCAAATACTTAGTATTGATAATGGGTTTTGGTGAAAATATTTTGTATGTTTGGTAGTAGAGTGGAATGGGAACGATCAGGCTAAGAATGAATAATAATGGGATTAAACCCTTATAAAATAAGAGGATATGTTTTTCTACTAATGGGGTATTTTAAATCCATAGTAGTGTTTTAGAAATCAGTCAACCAAACAATAATAATCACTTTCATACCCATACTTGAGTGGTGAACCTACCAATAAAAAGGTCCCTTAGGCTTTTGTTTTCAATTGTTAAATTCTTATTTTGAAGTCATACAATTGAATAAAAATTATTTTTTCTTCTCAGGTTTACAACTATGGAACCCTCTCATGTTTAAGGTTCAACTTTGTCCAATAAGCCGAGGGTTAGCAGGCTATCTGTGCACCATAACTTTAACAATATTTATAATAATTGTTTTTTCAAAAACTCCTAAAATGATGTGTTGTTTTTTAACGGATAATCATATAATTAAGGATAAATTTAGAAATTTCAATGAAAAATTAAAATTTGAACAATTTGAACTATTCATTTGATTTAATAATTTGACAGACATTTTTTTTATTCATTATAAGCCTAATTTTTTTTTTTACTCTTATTAGTATATAGTATAGTACATATTCACACTTTCTTTTTAAATCTTTATACTTTTCTTTAACTTATTTTTAAACATTAGTCCTTAAAAATAATTTATTAGTATTGTAGTGGTTTTTAACTTTTTTTTTTTCGTACTTTTTGAGTTTTCATGTTGTATTTTTATAATTTCTTATTACCTTTACCTTTTCTTTTTTGAATTATACCATCACTATGTAAAATTCAAGCACGTACCATTAGACCAGGACTATGTGGTCTAATGGTATCCGGATTGGACTTCCATTTGGAAGGTTGTAAGTTCGATACTACAATGTAATAGAGCTAGTAGCATTCAAAAAAAAAAAAAAAAAACTTAATAATAATTTAGAAAAAGATCAAATACGATTCAAAAATTGAATAAAATCTTACTTATCAATTGTTGACGATGACAAGATTTTCCATGTAAACTTTTATTCAAATATAGCATTAATTTGATATATCAATTTAAATTTTTTATAGATTTAAAAAAAAAGTATATATATATATATGTGTGTGTGTGTGCGCGCGCATATGCGTGTGTGTGTGTGTGCAAATATAATTTTATATACCTCTTTGGAGTGACATTGATTTATATACTCGTCATGTTTCAACTGTCAAGTATAGCGCACAGTGCATAGAGAGTTGGAGACTAGGGATGTTAATTAAATTTCAAGATTTGTATGAACAACTCCTAGCTTGTAATTTTACTATAAATTGTTATATACCCCTCTTTATCTCATAAACATTGCCTCTATTGAAATCCACACTCTATCGAGTTCTCTCATTATTAATTTCATTCAACTTCTTCATAATGAAAATCAAGTAGTTTCTGCACCATTTTGCGACATTTCTGCACTTCATAACAACTCTTATATCTTCAAGCATCGGAATCAGTCAAGTGCAGAGTCCAGCTCATGTAATAATTTGGGTGCACAATATTCTAAAAGAGATTGGTGTGGAGGTCAAGTTACTGTTACGAACAATCTGATTTTCCATGAAGGGACAAAACATATTAAAGTTGATTGTCATTTCATTTTTACAACGACGTCGTTTGATGTTTAAGCTTTTACAGACTCCGAAACTTTTCGTTTCTCATGTTTTAACACAAATTTTAATTTATTTTAGGTACAAAATCCTTACGCTTAATGTACAGAATTGCATAACACGAGATACGTACACATGCTTTTTATTTTACTTATTCTTAAATCTGATTTATGTAAATAATTTATTCCATATAGGCACATAATTTCATAATACAAGACATAAATTCGTAAAATAAGACACACAATATATTTTGTATTATACAACTACTAATCAATTTCATGTACAGAATTGCATAACAAAATGTACAAAAATGCATAACACGAGATGAAATACATACACATGTTTTCTATTTTACTTATTCTCATATCTAATTTATGTAAATAATTTATATCCTTTAGGCACATAATTTCATAATACAAGACATAAATTTGTAAAATAAGACACACAATATATTTTGTGTTATACAACTACTATTCAATTTCAAGTACAGAATCCTTACGCTTAATGTACAAAATTGCATAACATGATGTACAAAAATGCATAACACAAGATACATACACATGTTTTCTATTTTAATACGGGATACATACACATGTTTTCTATTTTACTTATTTTCAAATATGATTTGTGTAAATAATTTATGTCCTATAGTCACATAATTTCATTATACTAGACATAAATTCGTAAAATAAGACGCACAATATGTTTTGTGTTATACAACTACTAATCAATTTCAGGTACAGAATCCTTACGCTTAATGTACAGAATTGCATAACATGATGTACAAAACCACATAACACGAGACACATATACATGTTTTACAGTAAAAAAAAAAAAAAAAAAAAAAAAACTTTTGTAACGCGAACTGGACAACAAACAATCGCCGTTTAAAATTAATGTTCAAAACGACGTCGTATAGGACTAGGGTTCACAGTATAACGATTGGGTGATCAATTAGTTGACATATTCACAAAAGGGTTGAACAGGTGTTGGACTTCATATTCTCCCATTTGAGGGGAGTGTTAAAGAAAATAAGTGTTACGTTGGTTGAGAGTGTTACTCTCAACTCTTAGGTTTGAATATTTAAATCTTTGTGGTTGTGGTCTACACTCGGCTTGTATAAGTAGCTAATAGTCCTTGTACATTTATCACAAGATATACAAACATATACATAGTTATGAATCAGGGTTCACTATCTAACCTTAAAAATGATTGTTTTTAATATTTTATAGTTGAAGATTAAATATTACAATAGGGAAAATGAGGATTTTAGTCCGTTAATTGTACCTAAATTATAGACTTAGTTCATGAATTATTACTCTATACAAATGTTCTCTTGTAATTATGTTGAAAGTGACGGTTTCAATCCATTACTTATAAATTTTGTTAATGTTAAAAATTTATTTTCAATTTCCAAATTGATCATTTTACAAAATTTTCCCAAATTGCTTAGGTCCTTTGAGTTTTAATATATACAATAAGAGTTGAGTGGGCTCGGGATAAGGTTTCAGGAAGGTGATCGTCCAGAGCAACTCTAAAAAAGTTATCAATTGGATCAATGGGAACCACCATCCTTTAGGTCCTTTGGGTAATGTCATTGAGAAATGCAAACAGTTAAAAGCTAGAGATTGGGAGGTTAATTTTCAACATGTATTATGGAACAAAATGTGGTGGCGGATGTCTTGGCGAAACACGTGGATGATCCAAACAATAATTGGGATGAGATGATAGTGCCGCCGAGGTTTGTCATGGAAGCTTTGAGCGATGATGCTACTAGGATCCTCAGTCTGCATGTTGTTACTGAAGGGTGCTAGATTTGTCACTGGGCTTGCCCCTCTTTCTTTATCCACACACACATACACACA